GTGTAGGTGCCGCATCTGCCAATATCTAAATGTGAAAACGGCCAAGTTGGTATAAAAGGGCTGCACCTCATTGATTTGAGCAAATGAGCTGATGACAGAAACAAATGCATAAATGTTCGTCAATGAATCATCCCTCATTTCTATAATTGATGATAGATAGACCACACCACCATGTATTGTTTATGCAGACAAATGGGACTTGCTCGCTGGAGATCCAGTTATATGGATTGGTTAGCTGTCTTTAGGGTCATCTGAAATACTGCTATGTCTGCCATTTCAACCAACACAATTAATGATTTATTATCAACTATGTGAGGAATATGTATGTTATGGTTAAATAAAGATTAAATAAAAAAGAATATATATCTGTGTTCTGTCAGTCTGTTCCCATCATAACTGTTAATCTAGTATTTTCCATTCCACACAGACTTAGATTGGGTAAGCCTGAGGGCTATTTATGTCTGCCCTCTGAAAACCATAATAAAACAACCCGACTACAGCCAGTGTTCTCATGTTCTTTCCCAGGAAAGATTGATAGTCCACCCCTTCAAACCACAGCTTTTATGTCACATTAAATTCTCTATCTTTCTTCTTATGTCTAATATAGAATCAAGGGCCATGTTATTGTCTATGTTCAGATGTTCAGCAGTCTGCTTCAACATGAAAAAAAAAAATATATAAAGATAAGATAAGATAAGATTCCTGTATTCGTCCCCAGTCGGGGAAATTACGATGTTGCTTGCTGGCATATAGGAAGTAGTAAGAGACACAGGGGAGCACACAAATTCAATACAAATAAGTTGTAGCTATGTTTTTCTTAGCTAAAATACTAGCTGTAGATGCTGAAAATGCTTCAATACCAGTCAAAAATATTATATGTGAGTAGTAGTACTGTAGTACTGTACGTTAATTAGTGCAGGATAAAAAGTAGATAAAGAAAAGTGACCAAAGGGACTTTTCATCTAGGAATGAAAAGTAGTTAAAATATTTCCTGGCAGAGTAGAGCCAACTATTGTATTTCTTCCACACCAGACTATCCATATTTTAAGGAGACACTCGGTCAAAAATATCTGTAAACAAATTAACAAGAAACGAATATGATAGTTTAAAGTTGTCGTTCACTATGAGACCACTGGGACGAACATAAGAGGTTAGAACTATATGTTCTTACGCTCTTATGGGAAAGTGAAAGAGCTGAGGGTTTGGTCCAGACCCGTTACCAGTCCATAGCAAATATCCCGATGCAGGTCATGTTGTATAAAGGACCCAATACATGCTCTACTCTCAGTGACAACATAGTTATGATTACAACAGTAATCCAAAAAATGCTATGGCGTTTTATATGAAAAAAATATGGATATCAGTTTTACCTAAAAGGAGAATACATCGGACGTCAAGAAGAAGGCAGTCGAAAAGAAAGAGGAGGAAACAGAAAATGTTTAGAAAAATAAGACATCGCATGTATGGGACATATTCATCATAGCACACATTTGATATATAAAACATATTAAACCAGGGCAGTATACAAACTTGGAGACAGTAACTTTAAAAAAAGAACTGAAAATAAACCCCCTAGGAACAATAGTGAACCATAAACAGTAAGAATAGTGTAGTGCTACAATTAATACAGTGATGTATTGTATCTTTGTATACTTCTGTTATGTAGCCAATATGCACTGGAATAATATGTACTTCAGGCTCATTTAATTATTGTGTAAATAAACATCTCTGGGTGCTCTTTTTGCTCTTTTTCTATTCAAATTTACTTAAATCTAATATAACACATTATTTCCACTAATTTGTCCGTTCCTTTGGAGATTACGGTACTATTTTGTTTCCCAATAAACCATGGCAGTACATAAAAAGTTCCTGTTGCAGTGGCCATTGTTCCATGCATTTATTTTCCATCTGAGCGTGTTAAACTCTCCCCAGCAGGTTTCCTGGTCCCACACCAGCTGCTCCTAGCCGAGCACACGGGGAACCATTGCTGTAAACTACCAGCTAACTATGCATTCATTATACTGTCTCAAACAACTGATTGGAAAGCACATATTTTTAAATGTTCTATAATACAATACATTATCTTGTGTTAAATAACAATACTTGCACAGTAGGACAGTAATTACCTATTTTAAAAATATTGTTTGCAAGTTAATTGTCTGCTGTCTCGCGATGACAAACAGAGCTGTAGTGCAAGCCATGCCTCTGCAGGGAAGCGCATTTTACCTAACGCTGAAGATAAGACTAGATACAAAATCACACTGCCTCGTATAAGGGGACTCCTTCACAGTATTCGCTGAATGCAGAAGAAACCAATTTGAACAAAAGCCAGCAGGAGCCGCTTTACAGGAGGCATTTGATCCTAACTAACGGTTACTGAGCGAGAGGAGTCTACTTTTACATGTAAACCACCATGAGCCAGAGCGAATTGGAGCAACACTTTGTCCTTGAGCACTTTCCTATTGGGCGTCACAGAGTTAGAGGGTCAACATTGTCCATGTATATACAGTCTATGAATTGTGAATTGGAACTTGAGAATCAATAATGTATTGTCTATCTATAGTTGATTCATTTGTATTTGTTTATGATTTCAAACTTCACTTTGTTTTGTTATGATAATGTAAATTAAAGTACTGGATCCAAACAAACAAATACACAAAGCTTACCACCACTTACTACCTAATCTTTTAAATGGAGACGCTGATGCATGCTTTTATCACCAGTCGCATTGACTACTGTAATGCCCTGCTCTCTGGTCTTCCCAAAAAGAACATTTCAGGTTTACAATTACTTCAAAACTCGGCCGCACGTGTCCTGACTAAGACCAGGGGGCGGGACCACATTACACCGGTTTTAAAATCGCTGCATTGGCTCCCCGTGTGTTTCAGGATTGATTTTAAGGTTCTTTTAATGGTTTTCAAATGTCTTAATGGTCTTGGGCCTTCTTATCTTTCAGAACTGCTTTTATCCTATGAACCCTCCCGGCCCCTGCGCTCCTCCGGCAGCAGACTCCTAACCATCCCCAAAGTCAGGACACACACTCACGGCGAGGCATCTTTCCAGCACTACGGCCCCCGTCTCTGGAACAGTCTGCCGGAGGAGCTCAGGGTCGCAGAGAACATTCATATTTTTAAAGCCAGGCTCAAGACACACCTTTTTAGATTAGCTTTTGATTAGTATTTATTAGTCCATTTTTATATATTCTATTTATCCTTTATTATTTATTATATTGCTATTGCTTTTATTCATGTTTTGTGTGATAGTTCCTCTCAGGCTCACATTTTAGTGTTTTACTTATTGTATTGTTTTTAAGTATCCCCAGTGTTTCCTCTGGAGGAGCCTTCTGCGCTGGGAGCGGTGGTTGGCTGTGGCTGTGGGGGTCGGACTCTTGGACCTGGTGGGGGCCCGGGGCCTCGGTTTTGGGTCTCCTCTGGGTCCTGTGTCGTCCCCTTTGGCTATGGGCGGCTCTCTGCTCCTGGCGCTGACGGCTCCTTGGATGGCGTTTCTTCAGCCGGTTGCATCTGAACCCTGCCAAGTCTCTCTTATCGTCGTTTTATTGTTTATCGGTGCGTGTGTGTGTGCGCGTGTGTGTGTGGGGGGGGGGGGGGGGGGGGGGGGTCTGGGGAGGGTCTGTTGGGCGGTCGGGGGGAGGGCATGGGCAGGATTGTTTTTTAGCCAAACTGTAAAGCACTTTGTGTTGCATCTGTTGTATGAAAAAGCGCTTTATAAATAAACTTTGATTGATTGATTGATTGAAATAAATTGTGCACAAAATACTAGATATAGAGCTGATTTCATATCTTTTCATTTCATTACTGTTTGATTTTAATATTGAATTTTAAACACATGTGAAACTCGAATCGATTAGCATATGTTAATAATAATAATGCATCGGTTTTATATAGCACTTTTTTGGACACTCAAAAATGCTTCAGATGTCATTATGCTCATGTATTATACTAAAAGTTAAAAAGTTATATTCCCGAACGTTTATGGATAATTCTAGACGGAGACGCTACAAAGCAAATAGCAAAAACAATCAGGCTCCTTATTTATTTATAAGGCAGCGGAAAACAATGTAGTTCTAGCGCCTGGCCAGTAGTGGGCAGTAGAACTTTACAACAAGACACACACGACCCACAGCCCCCTCAGCAGTATAACCACTTCCTCAACAACATCCTCCTCAGGCCACTGCAAAGACTTGACAGAATGCACCAACATCATTCTGCATTTAACAGCAGCTGCGCAAATGGAAACTGAAACTAGAGCTTTGTGTGGTTTTGTGTGGACGGACAAATGAGTAACAATTGAAGCACACATAGCTAGTTTGTGTACCTATCGCCATTGTTGTTTACGTTTGTTCTCGGCTACTGCGCATGTCCAAATGTACCTACAGGGAAGTGGTCAGGTCACAGCAGGCGGAGAAATCACACCTTTTTCTTAACACAGTCGTGAAAAAGCCCCCCACTGAGCAGCGTAAGTGTTCTGTTCCACTCAACGCTTGCGTTTTCACCCCCCTGAAACATCGTCTCCATGTAAACAGGAGCCAAATCAATACCCAACCATAACGCTTTACTCTTGCGGCGTCTCTGTCTGAACGGGTCCTAAAACTGGAGCTTGGTGAGGGGTTAATGTTAATACAGTATGTCAACAAGGATGGGTTTTGTTTGAAGCATTGTGTTTTGTTCCTTTGTATGTGGGTGTGAGGGTGTGTTATCTTCTTGTTATAAAAGCTAAGAGATGAGTTGGAGCAGACAGTGGTGACTAAAAAAATAATCTTTGCTTGTGTGCTTTTATCCAGGAGAACTCTTGATTATAATTGTCTCAGTAATATGACCCTTTGAAACTTCTCTCCCTTACAGCTAGTACTACATCGTATGTTATGCTATTGCTGAAGGCGTTTGTAAAATCAATGGCACATGGCTGATAATAAATAATAAAAGTGTGCGAACATGAAGCACTGATCTGGTCCTGAACAGAGCCAGATGAAAGGCGAAGGCTCAGACCTGGTAGTTTCGAGCCATGATGGTTTTCCTGTCGTCTTCGATCCGTCTGAACTTGGTCGTCAGGCCTTTCATCTGGCTCTCCATCTTCATCACGTACTGGAAGTCTCTCTGTGTGCGCAGGTTCAGCACTTCAATGGACTGGGACATGTTCTGCACCTGTTGACAAGGATACAATCAACTGCAAAGGGCTTTTCCAAGTCATTTATTTCAGAATTGCGAAGAAGATTACCAACAACACTGGTCTTTGTGTCCTCACGTCTCAGATAATTGTCACTTAGTCTAGCGTTAAAGTAAAAGTGATGGAGTATGCTGAAATAATGTCCATTCAAAACACCAATAATAGTATTTGCACTAATAGTATCATGGTTTAGGTTTTATTTTCAGTTGTGTGATGACTTGCCCTTGTGTGTACCATTTGTCTCTTGTTAGTCTTGTGTGTTTAAACCCTCAGTATTGCTTCACTCTCTGTTCCGTCATTGTCAATGCCATGTCACTTTTTAGTCCCCCGTTTGGTTTCTTTCTGTACATTTATTCTGGATTCTGCATGTTCTGTGCTTTTTTAAATTATTTATTTCACAGTCCTGGGTTTCTTTTGTCACCCAGAAAGTTTTCCCCAGAGTAGGTTGCATTCATGTTCTAAAATTCTATTTCAGTTTGAGGGCAGGTGCCAGTGCCATTTTTGAAAGAAATTTTGCTAAACCAAATGTCCAAATGTTTTCTGAGATCATTATGTGCTGGTGCTTGGAATCACAGACTCACCTCATTACCCTTATGTCTGGAAGTCCATTTTACTGACTCTTTTAAGATATTGGAACCACCACTATATGTCTTCTGACGCCGACCATATTGATATGAACTGACAAAGAAGATTGTTGTCAGTTGTTGATTATTTACACTCATTCCAAATGTAATAGTGTAGAGCTCAAAATCACAACAACAATCCTCTCTAAATACTTCACAAAATGGTTGATTGACTAATTGCACACGATAAAAACTGTGAAAACATATTTGGACACATGAATGACTGTCCCAGAGAATGCCCTGTCCTTAGACCCTGCCCCTGATTGGGGACCACATGTTTTAGGCCCTGTTTATACTGAGACGCTGCGCAGACGTTTCCAGGCTATTAACAGAAACGACCTGGCTCCTAATGCAAATTTCTCAGTGTTCACATGAGGTTGAAAAACGATGTAGTTCTAGCGCCCGGCCAGTAGGGGGCAGAGGAACTTTACAACACGACACACGACCCCGAGCCCCGTGCCCAGCCCCCCTCTCGGCAGTATATTCACTTCCTGTACCAGACCCTCAGAAAGTACCAACATCATTCTGCCTTTTAACAGCAGCTGTGAACATGGAAACTGAACCTAGAGCTTCGCGTGGTCTCGTTTGGACGAACGAAGGAGTAGAATTATCCTCTGTCCCGCGCTGGAAGCCCACGTAGCTAGTTTGTGTGGGCGGCGCCATTATTGTTGATGTTTGTTCTCCGCTACTGCGCATGTCCAAATTTACGTGCGGGGAGCAGCGCGGAGGTGGGGGTCAGAGCACAGGGGGATTTCACACCTATTCCCCTCTCGCGGGTGTGAAAGAGCCTCCGCTGTGCAGCGTATCTGAGTTGTCCCACTCTGCAGGCTGGATCTGAACACTTACGTTTTCACCCCCCTGGAACACAGTCTTCGTATGAACGGTTGGTAGCAACCGACATCCTACTATACCGTTTTACTGCCACATTGTCTCCGTGTAAACTCAGCCTGAAACTCAGGCCAAAGACAATGAAGCCAGTCCTTTTGCTGGTGTTTTACTCCTGTGCTTAGTTTTGTTCAGAGCAGGAGCTGAACAGCTGAAGTCTTTTTTTCGTCTCAGTGCGTCTAATTGAAGTCACTCTGATGTGTTCCTCCTGCTGTGTATGTGTCCGATGTGTAATAAACTGTAGCTCAACTAGAACAAATGTCGGACAGTGGGAGCTTTATGGGCTTTGAAAGTACAAAGACTTTGTGGCGTTTTGGAGACATCACAGAGGTGCTATATTAAATCCATGCAGGGCTGGAAACACTGCATATTTTCACATTTCCCTCTGTCAAATTTGATTAGCTTTTGCTTGTTTTTCATTTTGTACGTTTGTATTTCCAGTTTGGGTTTACTTCTCAGACGTCTATTAACCCCCAAAGCTGGAGTATATGTGTATATATATGTATATATATGTGGCCAAGCCATTGTAATATACCAATTAAACTAAGGAGACTCAAATTGTCAGTATAACAGCAATATTTATTTCACACATGTACTAAAAATAAATGTAATTCAAAATTCAAACAGTTTAAAACCATGCAGTGCAATGTTAGATTCACAGCAAACCATGCAAAAGAGGGGTGGGTCGAATACAAAATATTTTAGCCCAATATCTGCATAAACATTTAAGGGATAAACAGTCGCCGGCTTGAAGTGCCGTGTTTGGATTCACTGCAACAAGAACAATATTTAAGAACAGTCACAGATGCATTTAAAATTGGCTCTAGCACAACAATGGTTTACCTGCAACAGTGAAAAACAAAATTCTTTCCAGATACGCGGGATAAAGAGGCCTGCAGGTAGCTTAACCTATAGTCAATAGATTGTTACTTCGTATGTTTACTCTGCCCATATCCACACAATACTGTCTGTCTATGGGGGATTACATGGGAATAATGATGACAGGCCTAACTCAAATGATAAAATCATTCATTTTGACATGACTAATTGCAAAGTACAGTCCATACAAATAAAACATGTTTGCAATAAATACTTAATAATACTATCCCAATTATTGAGTTACCTTCTCCAGGAGCTGCTGCAGCTGTCTGCTCTTGGCGTCCCTGGAGCAGAGGCTCTGCTCTGGGGCCACCACGGTGCAGATGCATCTCCCATCAGCGTCCTGAGCCGAGCTGTACACCTGCCAGCCCTCCTTTGGCCCAATCGTCTGCACACATGATTGGGAAAACGCACTGTAGTTACAGTCAGTCACATCCCACTATATACAAACACCACCAGCTTAAACAATGGAAATGATTTGTAAAAATATTTTCCCCAGAAATGGAAAATACACTCAAAAGTTGTTTACACTCAAAAGTGAATGCAGAGGGATAAATAACATGTTGTAGCATGGTGATAAATCAAAAGCTTAAACTTGTAGCTGTATGGCTCTTGTTCATAGACTTACATTTATACAGTAGGTCCACCTGAGAATCTCAAAGCTTGACTGAAACACACTCCTCACACTTTTGACAGACTATAAATGAACACTGCCCACTTTAAATAATCAAACATCCTACATCTGTCTTGACACAGTGACCATGGATAAAACATTAATTTTCCACTCAGTTTAAACAGGTCCAGATGGATGACTGTGGAGGGGAAAGGAGGAGGGCGCTCTTTGGCCTGCCTGAATTATAGACACAATTTACGTTCTTTGGCTCCCATCACTCTCAGCAACGTCTGCGGGTGGAAAATATACACTCACAATACAACTCTTGCAATTGCCTTGTGTGTGAACTGTGCTATACAAATAAACTTGCCTTGCCTTTGAAATACAGTCTTTTTTCTTACCAATAATGTTAGGCATATCCATTATAAAAGAGGTACACATTCCTCAAAATCCTTTAGCATTGAAAAAGTATAAATGGTCCTCTTTTGACAATACAAAAAATGTGGCAAAGGGTGGAATGTGGAATGGAATTCGAACTGCAAAAAGAGATTTGTATTCCCAATTAGCACGAATGCCCAGGGCGGCCCGTCAGACATGTGCAGTTTTGTAGCGACATCAAAAGCACAAGATGTCGCTACGATAGCAAACGATGGATTCTATTGTAAACAAGACAGGCTACAGGCCGACACAAAGCCCAGGCTGTCAGTCCGTGACAGGTGAGTTCTAGTAACAAAAGACAGATTATCAAACATCTCTCGATCGACGGATAGATATGAAAAGGTCCGCAATGCCCACACAATACACACTATTTATTCATGGATGGAAGGGCAATTGTATTTATCTAGAATTTGAAATAGGGATGTAGGGAACCATTACGGGTAATCTTGTTCTGATCTGGCAACAAAATATTTGATTATCTATTCTATGATGTATTAAGCCAATATTCTGATAATAATCCAGAATGTCAATGAATTTTTGTTTTTTTGAATTTGTTTTTAGTTTTTAATCATGCAAATATGTCATGCACTTGCAGGAGAAATAACTAGATAAAGATTTTTTTTGTTGAACGTTAAGGTTTTTGGAAAAAATTGTCTGAAAAAAAAACAAAGAAGGAGCCCTGGAAAGAAAAAGGACCTCTAATTTTTAGTACAGAAATCATAAAATACCCCAAAACAAACAAACATCGAAGACATATAATGTTTATAATTATGAGAAGCATTTACAGTATAAGCACAAAAAGTAAAGTGTCGAGCAGCAGGATTGGTAGATCCCTGATATGATTCATGACTTACTGATTAAATATTGATACATATTGTAAAGAAGCGATGCCAGGTTGTTATTTCCAGTTCAAGCTAGAAAGAACTAAACATTTTAAGGACTTAACATCAAGAAACTTTTTATCTTCTCTTAATGAACGTCAATAACCATTACAGCTCAATTCACTTTCTCGGTTCCTGATGCTTTCTTGCATTCACTAATATCCTGTTGATGGAGACATAACCATAGCTGGAAAACGCTATGACCAGCAGAGATGATGTGTGTCCAGTATTTCAGATGATAGGTGGGATGTGAACTCAGAGGCTGCAGTAGATCCACACTGAGCTCATTCATCTTTCTCACAAACACTCGTCCCCAGTCCCACTGATCCAGAATCTGCGCCTTCACGCACTGTCCTCGGAGGGGCTCACACAGGAGAATATTGTTGTTCTATTATTGCTTTTTTATTGTTGCCTACCTATTTTGTACTCCTACTGATCCTTAAAAGTCAGTTCAATTACAATTCAACTTGTTCTGTACTGTAATGTATGATTTCTATACATTACAGTACAAAATGTCATTTAAAATAAAAAACATCACATACAATAAGCATTCCACACTCGACTATAACAGCCTCAATTCTGAAGCTTGGGGTTAAAATTTGACTCATGGATTTCAGTTCCTCATACACAGCACTCATCAATATTACTACAGACTCGGTACAAACAGTGTGGGTGCCAGCATTCAATATGTTTACAGAGAAAACCACAAAAAGCTGCAGAACCACAGGATATGTGCTGATGTAGGTCCCATTTCATTCCCGCAAATGAGAAAATCTGCTGCCTCTGGAGATGTCAGCGCGGTGACAGCGGAGCATCATATAAGACCACAGCAATAAATCAAACTTCAAAGAAATATACAAAACATATGCAGTTTGTGTTGAGGTAGTAACCTTTTCATCTGTGAAGCCATGATGTGAATTCATCAACTGTTCATGCACTAGAATCTACCTGAAATGCACATGGTATTTCCTGATTGGTTTGGAAAGTGAATCCATGTATAAACAGAAAACAATGGATGAACATATTGTAGTCTACTAATCCTATTCATGTGCAAGTGTGTTATTATAATTCCCCCTTTGTGTCGCATTTTTCTGTCAATCAAATCAGAGTACATGCTAAACATTGTTTCATTATAAGTTTAGAATAAATACATTCTGTGTTCAATGAGGTCATGATTTTGTAGAGTTGTCTGAAATATTATGAGCTAATTATAATTTCCAGGCCCAATGGTTTCTACTTATTGCAGATCTGTTCTCCTATTGGCTCTGGTCTATTGCAGCCAGTAATGATGTGAGTGCAAACACCTAAACAAGAAATCTCAGTGTGAGAGAATCATAATGCTGGACACCACAGTCCAAATTAGAATACTGCATAAGTAAAGCGACAAAAATGAACAAATCATAAAACCATAAATAACTTATTGAAGGATCAGCATTCAGCACATTTCTTCAGCTCATTGAGCTCAAGGTGAAGCGGTTTTAACACTGGACTTTAACAGTGACCTCAGCACACAGAAAATGAGATATTATCATGCCTCACTGCAGTGGGACCACTAAGAGTCTGTCTGACACGAAACAAAAAAGTATGATTAGCCTTTAAAAATTGGCTAATCATACTTTTTGTAAAGAAAAAAGACAAAGAAAAACTGGAACATGTTTTTTTTTTAAAGGTCTCAAGCTTGAGATCATGCTTTGGAGTCTGAGATCATGAGGTCTAAATTAAAGTTAAGATAGCATACTATGGATGAAAAGCTATTTCCTCAATTCAATCATATATGTGCTAATAATGCTAACGCTCCTCAGCATGTGTCAAAAAAAAAAAGTGTATTTTTGATCTTACCTTGATTTTTTTTATGTTCCTGTAAATAATGGAGGGAAAGAAGGCATGTTTTTATACATTTTCCAGACCATTCAAAACCAGATATAAGATTACTTTATGTTGCACAGTGGTTCAGACTTATGGAAGCCCGTTTCCGCCATGTAAAAACAGAAAGTCAAAATTTTGACTTTAAAAGTCAAAATTACGACTTTAAAAGTCAAAATTACGAGTTTTCAACTGCGCATGTGCAGTTGAAAACTCGTATGTGTTGTTGTCTGGAACGGTCTCTGGTCATCCCTGTTATAGATCCATGACCATGGGTCATCCTCTACCTGCAGATTATGTGAAGATTTTTCCTACAGACAGTGACCACATCCATGAAGTAGCAGCAATAATGTTGTGGTAGTAATCGCGTTAAAATGCAAACGGTCTCTCCGTTTATGATTAGAATCCGCTTCAGAAGCCTCTATTTAATTTATTCTAAACGGACTGTGGAAAATTAATAATAAAACACATGCGGCTGTTCAAAGTCATTGAGCATCAACTGGTGACATCTGGTCAGTATCACGGCTATCGATGGATGCACCAGAAATGCACTGAATGATATTGTGACTGACAGAGACCGTTCGCGATGACAGGACAGTGAGAGAGGTCCGCAGACAGAGGCAGGAGAACCACAGACAGAGGCAGGAGAACCACAGACAGAGGCAGGAGAACCACAGACAGAGGCAGGAGAACCACAGACAGAGGCAGGTAAACCACAGACAGAGAAAGGAGAACCACAGACAGAGGCAGGTAAACCACAGACAGAGGCAGGAGAACCACAGACAGAGGCAGGAGAACCACAGTCACCGGCACTGACAATACCCTTTTGGAATTGCGATCAGTGCATTGAAGAGTATGTGACGTGTGTGCGTGCACGCGGGGGTGAGCTGATGGAGCGAGCGTGCGGGTAAAGTTGTTGGCGTATGAGCAAGAACACAGAGACATACAGGGAATAAGTACCTTGTCTGATCATTTTATTGTGACAAAATAAAGCCCACGACTCTTTTAGCAACAATCCGGAGAAATAACTCCACAGATAACAGTGAGGGTCTTTGAAAAGGGAGTTAAACCCATTATAGATGCATGAATAAAACCCCGTACTCAACACGTAGAAAGCACATCATTTCAGCCGTGGAAATACTCGCTCCGTGTGGACCCTCTCAGCGTCATCGTCTGGTCAGATTGGTCTATAGCAGATTGGATATGGGGTGCCGATTGTAAAAATTCTGTTAAAATTTTTTAGCTGAACATTTTTCTACATTTAGCTCACTTTCCTCACATTTAGCACATTTTCCTCACATTTAAGACATATCTATATCTAAATATTATATCTATATCTAAATGTTAAATGTTATATCTAAATATTATATCTATATCTAAATGTTATATCTATATCTAAATGTTAAATCTAAATGTTAAATCTAAATGTTAAATCTAAATGTTAAATCTAAATGTTAAATCTAAATGTTAAATCTAAATGTTATATCTATATCTAAATGTTATATCTATATCTAAATGTTATATTTATATCTAAATATTATATCTATATCTAAATGTTAAATGTTATATCTAAATATTATATCTATATCTAAA